TCCTGGGCAACTGAACCAAAATCATTGGCAGTGTTCCCTCAGTTGACGCTCAGCTCCTGATTCTTCACACTTTCCTGGCTCCTCTTTACTAGCTTCATTGTGCTTCCCTGGTCGTAACTTTCGGTGACCCTTCAGCCTTTGTCTTTCTGAGCTTCAGCTACTGTCTTTCTCTCGCTGCTTTGAACAAGAATTTCCCTCGCAGCGGCACTTTCTCTCTCTTTCTCTTTCTCTTTCTCTTTCTCTTGCTCTTTCTCTTTCTCTTTCTATTTCTCTTGCTCTTTCTCTCTCTCTCTCTCTCTTTCTCTCTTTATCTTTCTCTTTCTCTTTCTCTTTCTCTTTCTCTATCTCTTTCACTTTCTCTTTCTCTCTCTCTTTCTCTTTCTCTCTGTCTCTCTGTCTGTCGCTCCTCCCTCTGGTCGCCTCCACACATGTTCTGTCATTTGGCAGGTGCGGACAAGGCACCCGCTGGACCGTCATTCATGGCTCCCTTTTCTTCGAACCCCCGTCTCACCCGAGCGCTTCATGGTGCCAAGGCACCAGTAACGTCAGCGCGGGCAAGAGGATGTCTACGGGGTTACTGTCAGCGTCCAGGAAGTGCAAAGAGCACCTTTCCTTCGTCGCCTGCCCGGCAGCTGCCAGAAGAAAAAAAAAACTTCCCTCGACAAAAAGGGATGCAGCAAAACACATGGTGTCAAGCCACGTTGTTCTTCTTTGTTCTTTCCTTTGCAAGAATCCTCATTTCAAATTCGCAGCCTCGAAGCCCCCGGCGTCAGATCTGGCTGGCACGTTGCCTTCAGACCGCATCCGGGCCTGCGCCCAAAGGTAGCTCTCCTCTGTCACCCCGAGCTGGCCAAGCACCGCAGCATCAATCACTGGCAGTCGGGAGGGCCAAGGCAGCTGGCTGGAGTTTCCATCAGTCTGTCACTCGGCTTATGACCTCTGCTTCTCCCTTGCCTGACCCTTAATGCAAGTATGTCAACAGCGATTTGAATGGTAGCGCCTGCGTCAGAGGAGAAAAATAACGCACTTCACAGCACCAAGGCCTGCAAAACCAAGCACTTGCCGTCCGTGCTGCCACGGTGCCTTCTACCAGCTCATGGTACTCTGCGATGATATCTTCCCGCCCTGGTCGCGGCCATGCCGGGCTTGTCAGCAAGTGCGCATTGCGCATTGCGCGCAAGCAAGCAAGCAAGCAAACGAGCAAACAAACGAACAAACAAACAAAGAAACAAACAAACAAACAAACAAACAAACAAACAAACAAACAGACAAACAAACAAACAAACACACACACACACAAACAAACAAACAAACAAACAAACAAACAAACAAACAAACAAACAAACAAACAAACAAACACACACACACACACACACACACACACACACACACACACACACACACACACACACACACACACACACACAAACACAAACACACAAACACACACAAACAAACAAACAAACAAACAAACAAACAAACAAACAAACAAACAAACAAACAAACAAAATCAACAACACATGCGGAAAGTATACATGACTTTTGCAGAACCAATGCGCTGACATTCGACCAGCGAGACAAATGCTGCGATCACACAATCAAGCTGTGCTTCACCGCTTGCACTGCGAAGCCCTTGTCAGCGGCCAAGTTCACACAGCTGCCTCAAGCCACACCTGTTCAAACTTCCACGGTTCAATCAAAGTGGGCGTGATCTTATTTGGCTCGGATTCAGTGTCCCTTTCACCTTGGCTTAAAGCCGAAAGGATAAACCGCAAGAGCACCATGTTCGGGGTCCGCCCTTGGTAACGAGCCATAAGTCAGCAACACCGCCGGGACCACGCCTAGTCTCGCCGATGGGAGCCACAGGCTGCCAGTCAGCTCTGAGAGCTCGGTGTCGTCCCAAAGCAGGAGGCCTCCCACAAGCTGCATGTCGCCCAACATAAACATGTTATGTGTATACAAGAATATGGAAAAATATAGGCATAGAAACGTGTGTGGTTTATACAACATATATATATATATATGTGTACATTTATACAAGCGTATCATACGCATATTAATCAGGCTCCGAATGTCCATGCAAATGCACCCGCTGGTGCGCTGGCTTTTGGCACCGCAGAGAATGTGAACAATCCCAAGTGCTGCTCTTCTCTGCTTCCTATCACCCTGCGCCTGGCTGGCCCTTCTCTGCCAGCGCAGGTCGCTTCTGCAACAGGTGCAGGGCCAACCACACGGAGTCCGGGAGCTCCGGGTCCTGCACGCGCGGCATGCCATAAGACAACAAAACACCGGGTGTTGCCCTGAAGGTTGCGGCGGCATCTGTTGCATCCATTGCGGTATGACATCCTTCGGTTTCTTTCTGGATAGGCAGGCATTGTCGGAAGCGAATGGATACTAAGGGCCAAGCGCCGAACGGCAAAGGCCACTTTCAGATGGGGGTTCAATTTGTACAGCCGAACAAGCGTGTCATCACTTGGGGCAGCATTCGCTCACAATTCCAACTCGTGCTTTTGCTATCTGCAGACGCATTGGCCACCTGGCCTGCATTTAAGAAGCTGACAGTCTTACAAGCATGTTTTTTTTGCAAAAAAAGACTGCAAATGTTCGTGTAAAATCAAAGTAACAATGATGAAGAAGTCGTAATGAGCAGGCGTTGATGTTCGTGTAAAATCACGGCAACAAGGCTGCAAAGGTCGTAAGGAGCATGTAATGATGTTTGTGTACAACTGGTGAAAATGATGAATATGCGCTGATGTTCATGTAAATTTGCAGAAACAAAGCATCAAATCATTGGAAAACAAGAGGTTCATGCTCATTTTAAACCAATGTACCTTGCTTCTACAAGTTGTCAAACAAACGTGGCGATGTGAGTTTTTGTGGTGCTGAGGGGGAAGCCTGTGCTGGACAGGGGGCCACACGTTGTGCGCAGGTTGGGGGAAGTCAAACTGAGCTGCAGCGCCTGTCTCGTCGTCCAACCCAGTTTCAACGCAACGCGAAGCTAAGGCTGGCCAAGCTTCGACTTGCTTAGCACTGTTAGCCTGATTTTTCAGGTGACAGTTTCATCAGTTCGTTTGCTCATGACTTGTTCAGCATGGCTACCCCTTACTTAGCTGAAAGAATTCTCCTGTGCATCACAGTTTTGGTGGTGCAAAGGACGGAGTGGCGCAAAGGGGGAAAACTGCGGTAAGCGTTGGAAACTATTGTGGTGCAAAGGGGGAAAACTGCTGTATACAGGCGGAATTCTTGTGGTGCAAAAAGGGAAACTGCAGCAGACACGGGGAATTCTTGTGGTGCAAAGGAAAAATCTGCAGTGTACAAGGGCTATTCTTGTGGTGCAAAGAAAGAAACTGCGGTATACGTGGGAGATTCTTGTTGCGCAAAGGCGGTATACAGGGGGAATTCTTGTGGCGCAAAGGGGGAACATTGCGGTATACGTGGGAGATTCTTGTGGGAAAACTGCTGAACACAGGCGGAATTCTTGTTGTGCAAAAGGGGTAAACTGCAGCACACACGGGGAATTCTTGTGGCGCAAAGATGGAAATATCTGCAGTACACAAGGGCTATTCTTGTGGCGCAAAGGGACGGAAAATTGCGGTATACGTGGGAGATTCTTGTGGTGCAAAGGGGGAAAACTGCGGTGTACAGGGAGAATTCTCGTGGCGCAAAGGGGAAAGAAAGTTGCGGTATACGTGGGAGATTCTTGTGGCGCAAAGTGGGAAAACTGCGGTTCTCGTGGTGCAAAGAAAATAGAAGTATACGTGGGAGATTCTTGCGGCGCAAGGCGGAAAACTTGCAGTACATTTACAGGGAGAATTCTTGTGGCGCAAGTGGAGGGAAACTGCGGTGTCAAGGTGGCAAAGAAAGAACGTACTGGGGGAATCCTTGTGGTGCAAAGGGGGAAATCTGCAGTATACAAGGGGCCAGTCTCGTGGTGCAAAGGAGGAAATTGCGGCATAACGTAGGAGATTCTTGTGATGCAAAGAGGGAAAGCTGCGGTGTACAGGAGAATTCTCGTGGTGCAAAGGGGGAAAACTGCGGTATATGTGGGAGATTCTTGTTGGGCAAAGGGGGAAGACTGCGGTATACAAGGAGAATTCTTGTGGTGCAAAGGGAAAAGCTGCGGTGTACAGGGGGAATTCGCGTGGTGCAAAGAGGGAAAATTGCGGTATACAAGGAGAATTCTTGTGGTGCAAAGGGAAAAGCTGCGGTGTACAGGGGAAATTCGCGTGGTGCAAAGAGGGAAAACTGCGGTATACGGGCAGAATTCTCGTAGCGCAACGGGGGAAAACGTGGGAGATTCTTGTGGTGCAAAGGGGGAAAACTGCGGTAATCTCGTGGCGCAAAGAGGAAAATGGGAGATTCTACCGCAATTTTCCACCTTTGCGCCACGCGAATTCTCCCTGTATACCGCAGTTTTTCCCCTTTGCACCACAAGAATCTCCCACGTCTACCGCAATTTGCCCCCTTTTGCACCACAAGAATTCCCCGTGTCTGCTGCAGTTTTCCCCCTTTGCGCCACAAGAATCTCCCACGTGTACCGCAATTTTCCCCGTTTGCACCACGAGAATTCTCCCTGTATACCGCAGTTTTCCCCCTTTGCACCACAAGAATCTCCCACGTATACCGCAATAGTCCCCTTTGCGCCGCGAGAATTCTCCCTGTGTACCGCAGTTTTCCCCCTTTGCACCACAAGAATTTCCCACGCATAACGCAATTTTCCCCCTTTGCACCACGAGAAGTCTCCCTGTATACCGCAGTTTTCCCCCTTTGCACCACAAGAATCTCCCACGTATACCGCAATAGTCCCCCTTTGCGCCGCGAGAATTCTCCCTGTGTACCGCAGTTTTCCCCCTTTGCACCACAAGACGTATACCGCAATTTTCCACCTTTGCACCATGAGAATTCTCCCTGTATACCGCAGCTTTCCCCCTTTGCGCCACAAAGATCTCCCACGTATACCGCATTTTTCCACCTTTGCGCGACGAGAGTGGCCGCTGTATACTGCAGATTTCCCCCTTTGCACCACAAGGATTCCCCCAGTACGTTCCCCCTTTGCCACCTTGACACCACAGTTTCTTCACTTGCGCCACAAGAATTCTCTCTGTATACCGCAGTTCTCCCCCTTGAACCACAAGAATCACCAACGCATACCGCAATTTTCCCCCTTTGGGCCACGAGAATTCCCCCTGTAAACCGCAGTTTTCCCCCTTTGCACCACAAGAATCTCCCACGTATACCGCAATTTTCAGAATAGCCCTTGTGTACTGCAGCACCGCAACTTCCCCGACTTTGCGCCACAAGAATCTCCCACGTATACAGCAATTTCCCCCTTTTGCGCCACAAGAATAGCCCTTGTATACTGCAGATTCCCCTTTGCACCACAAGAATTCCCCGTGTCTGCTGCAGTTTTCCTCTTTTGCACCACAAGAAAACTCCCTGTATACCGCAGTCTTCCCCCTTTGCACCACAAAAATCTCCCACGTATACCGCAATTTTCCCCCGTTGCGCCACAAGAATAGCCCTTGTATACTGCAGATTTCCCCCCTTGCGCCACAAGAATTCCCCGTGTCTGCTGCAGTTTTCCTCTTTTGCGCCGCAAGAATTCCGCCTGTGTACAGCAGTTTTCCCCCTTTGCGCCGCAAGAATCTCCGACGTACACCGCAATTTTCCCCCTTTGCGCCACGAGAATTCTCCCTGAATACCGCAGTTTTCCCCCTTTGCACCACAAGAATTTCCCACGTATAACGCAATTCTCCCCCTTTGCACCACGAGAAGTCTCCCTGTGTACCGCAGTTTTCCCCCTTTGCACCACAAGAATCTTCCACGTATACCGCAATTTTCCCCCTTTGCACCACATCGCCCTTGTGCACTGCAGATTTCCCCCTTTGCGCCACAAGAATTTCCCGTGTCTGCTGACAGCAGTTTTCCCCCTTTGCACCACAAGAATCTCCCACGTAATTATAAGGCGATTGTCCACCCCCTGTGTGCCGCAGTTTTCCCCCTTTGCACCACAAGAATCTCCCACGCATACCACAGTTTCCCCCTTTGCGCCACGAGAATAGCCTTTGTATACTGCAAATTTCCTTGCTTGCGCCACAAGAATCCGTGTCTGCTGCAGTTTTCCCCCTTTGCGCCAATTCCGCCTGTATACAGCAGTTTTCCCCCTTTGCACCACAATAATTCCCACGCATACCGCAGTTTTCCCCCTTTGCACCACGCGAAGTCCAGCTGTATTCCGTGGTTTTCCCCCTTTGCACCACCAAAACTGTGATGCACAGGAGAATTCTTTCAGCTAAGTAAGGGGTAGCCATGCTGAACAAGTCATGAGCAAACGAACTGATGAAACTGTCACCTGAAAAATCAAGGTAACAGTGCTAAGCAAGTCGAAGCTTGGCCAGCCTTAGCTTCGCGTTGCGTTGAAACTGGCTTGGACGACGAGACAGGCGCTGCAGCTCAGTTTGACTTCCCCCAACCTGCGCACAACGTGTGGCCCCCTGTCCAGCACAGGCTTCCCCCTCAGCACCACAAAAACTCACATCGCCACGTTTGTTTGACAACTTGTAGAAGCAAGGTACATTGGTTTAAAATGAGCATGAACCTCTTGTTTTCCAATGATTTGATGCTTTGTTTCTGCAAATTTACATGAACATCAGCGCATATTCATCATTTTCACCAGTTGTACACAAACATCATTACATGCTCCTTACGACCTTTGCAGCCTTGTTGCCGTGATTTTACACGAACATCAACGCCTGCTCATTACGACTTATTCATCATTGTTGCCTTGATGCGGTCTTTTTTGCAAAAAAACATGCTTGTGCGGCTGTAAGCTTCTTAAATGCAGGCCAGCCACACTGATGTAACGCCATCAGTTTGCAGGAACCCACCTTCATCAGCAAACCTTCTTGCTCGCCCTAATTGTGCCAGTTTTGGGCTCAAAACTTCTCGCCCGTCCAGCCCAGACAGTTCTGCGCCACGACGCGCTGTCTCGGCCGTCCAGCACTTCCTTGGATGTGCAGCCATGTCGCACCGGCGGCCAACACGTGAAATGGGCCGCCACAACAAAAGAAATGGCTGTAGGTCAAAAGCGGAGCTCTTCTTGACCATTACAGTACCCATTAACATTCTAAGACAGGCAAGCCTGACCTGCCGGCTCCAAAACTTGAGCAGGACGGGGTGGACGAAAGCTAGCACAAGGAAGAAGCAAGGGAGAGGCAGGGGAACTTTGGGGCCGAGGCGGCATTCTCTGAAGGCACATTTGGGGCAGGGTTTGCCCTATTGATTCTACAAACAAGTTCCGCCCAAATTTTGGATAAAATCAATAAGTTCAGATTTCAGCTCATGTTTAGCTGTGAGGGAATCGAACCATGTTTAGCTGTGAGGGAATCGAACCTACGACCTGTTAGTGGGGGATTCAGCCCGTGCACTTGCCCATCCAAGTAGAAACTCGTTTGGAAGCAAAAGATTGGGTGGTGAAGTTCGGGCAAACAAGCGCAGTTCCATCCAAGACCACAAGGGGATTGATGAGGACAAGGGTTCCAAGGTCGACCACGCCCGATCGCCTTTGACTCTGATTCCACTTGCAACAGTGGAGGGACATCAGGCTACTGTTCCAAAATCGAAATCGGACCAAGCTGGACAATGGCAACAACAGGGAGTCCTAAAGAATGCACAAAGCGTGTCCAGTCCATCTCACGCACTGGTCAACAGACACAGGATTTGCAATGGTTGCCCATGTTTGTCTGATATGCGGGGCCGATTTTCAACCAACAAGGCCCTCTGCGGGGAGCAAACAAACAAGGTCGTTTGGGGAAAGGCCATTGTAGCGGTTGCCAAGCTTGCGGACAGACTGCGTCCCCGGCGTGCTCTGGCTTCAAGATGAGCCGTGACTATTTGGAAGGCTGTCAAAAGACATATGGTTCCTTTTCTTGGACCCGCCGAACAGGCCGGCTTTGGGGTTCCGCGTCCACAAACCTCAGCCCAAGGTGCGAGAGAGGCAGCGCCAGCAGCGGCTCCCCAGGCAGCACCCGAGCAGTGCATCGGAAAGCGCCGTCCTGGAAGGCCTGCCACAGGCAGCCGAAGAGTCTCCTCTGCTTTTGAGAGGGGTCCCCAAAAGGCCCGTCTTTTGGTCCTCTCTATCTCTCACCCCCTTGACTCTCTCTCACCATTTTTAAGTTTTAAGTGACCAGTTGGCAATCCAAGATGTTGGCCATTGGCGAGGCCATCCCTTTGCCGAGCTGCCAAACGATTCAGCAGCGCGCCGTGGAAGTACTCCATGGCGACATAGGCACTCCAAGTCCGATGGCCGAATTCATGCTTTGGCACCTGGCGCCTGCGCAAGATTTGCTCACCCAAAACAAATGGGTGTGGTGGCTCAAAACGAAACAGTTGGCGTTGCGCAAATTTTGGCCTTTGTTTCCATCTGCCCAGGTACCGTTTTGGGTACACTCTTTTGAGCGGCCAAATGAGACCAAACAGCTGAGGAACCTCGCAATGGCCGAATTCCACGCTCATTGAGCCCAAGGACCAAGACTCTGCCCCTGGAAAAGCAGTCCCCCAACGGCGAGGAAAGTTTGGTTTCTGCGAGCCAAACCATCAGAGGCTCCAGCGTATTTGCCAAGCTCTGCGGGCCGAACCTCGGCTCAAGGAGGGACCTGCTGGGTTCATCTTCTCTCTGCTACTGGCTTCAAAATTTTAACATAATCAAAGTCCCCCCTCAGTGGTGGGTCAAAGGGAAATAACCCCATTTTCTGACTTTGAGAACCCCCAGAAACCGTCAAAATAATAACCCCAGTGTTAAGCTCATGGATAGACGGCGTCAGGTCCAAGCTGGGTATTTTCGAGACACTCACAGAAAGCTCTCCCTTGGCCAATGGTTCCCTTCACTGTCGGTCGGTGTCTTAGGCGCTGGCTCGCCGATTTTCTTCACGCTCTGCTCCTGGGCTAAACCGAGCACAGGCCGGCGTATCCCCCACAGAAAGTGAAAGAGACAGCTCCGGAAATCAACAAAGGTGCATCGCTCCAGCAATTGGGATCCCCAAAAGAACGCTTGACCGGTCAAATCAAGGGCCTCGCGTGTCTCAGGAACACGCCAAAAGGATTGCCTGCGTGTTTGTCACAATCGAGGGCGGCCAGACTTTTTAGAATCGACCAAAGGATTATCGAAGCAAGTAAAGAGAGCTCCAGCGGAGGGATCATGACAAACAGCGGCTGACACTACCAAAGCAGTGTCATTACAACTGCAAACATTCGGACACCTTTGCAGGTTTGCGGCTTTTTGGGGAGCTTGTCGCTGGTTTAAAAAAAAAAGCCAGGACAAGGGGTCTTGGTCCTAGGATTTCACCGTTCTGCCTGATGTGGAACCATTAGGCGCACAACCACGCTACGTTGCCAATGTGGGCATCATACGCGTACAATTCAAAAGACTTGGGCAAAAGATACCAGAGCAAACAGTGGGGGGCTTCTATTGCAAGCTGAGGCTCGATCAAAGCCTCCATCTTGTCCGTCAGCCTTAGCTCTTGTCTGCTAGGTGAACTGGCTGAAATGTCGACGCTTTCCAGCACCCCAGCACGACTCTAGAGGCTGAAGGATTGCAGGGGGGATGCTGGCTGGGCTGAGTATGAAAGGCTCGTCAGTTTCCTCTGGCCAGAGATCTGCTGAGCTCTGATATGTCCGAACCGGCCTTCTGTTTTTCTGAGGCCCATCTTCTTCACTTGCTTCCGACTGCATGGCATTGCGGAGGTTTCCTTCCACCAGTTTCTTTCCACTAGCACAGGCGACGCCCACCTCACCCCACCCCACCCAGCAGACCCCACCCGGCAGACCAGGCGCGTGAAGTTCTGCGCGGCCACCGCCCAAACCACGTTGGCCAAGTTTTGCCTCGGATGCTGTCGGTCACCTACCGGCTGGGGGCAGCAACCAGGACAAGCGGGCACAAAACATGGCGCTGGGCTTGAGTCTCGGCGATCCTTTTTAATAAAACACGACGCTTGATCCTCAACTGACTGGCGAGATCGCTTCAATCCGAACACACCTTCTTACACATCCCCTCTCTCAGGCTCGCACGCGGAGAACTCATCGATGCAGCCCACAACCGCGCCACACCTCGTGTGAGAGCAACTCCATCTGTGACAACTTCCTCCTCATCTTAATGTGGGTCTGGGTCAAATCCCAATCCCCAACTAAAATAGACTAAAATGGGTGGTGAATTCACCTACCCCAAAATGGTACCATTGGTGTTGACCCAGGGCCATGTTGCAATGCGCCGCTGCCAGTCGAAAGGCTCTCCTCTGCGCAAGCTCAGTCGCCCGCAGGGCATCCACCAGCGGCTCGCTCCGCTTCAGCTGTTTGGCATTCGCCCAAAGCAGGTTCCTTTGGTGCGTCCGTCTCAAAACCACATGGCCAAAGAACCCACCTTTCGTTGATTCAAACAAGAAGCTCCTAGGGGAGTTGGCCCGCAGAATCACAAAGTGCCCACCATGAATTGATCATTCGCGTCTTTTGAGCGTCTGCCAGGGCCAGGTGGCAGCCGCTGTGAAAAAAAAAGTGAAGCCAACGCGCAAAGCTGAGGTTGCAGCGCAAGCTGCGCGGGCTGAAACTCGCCGACACGGTGGGCCTGGTCGCATGCCCAGGAGAAACCGCGGCGCAACGGTGCTATGCCGCAAATCCTGGAAGTTCTGAAAGGATGTGTGAGAGACTTGCCGGGGCAAGGTTTTGCCAGGACTCATCTTGAAAACATGTCGATCCGTCTGCCCCTTCCCGCGCATTTTGTGGCGCCCGCACTTGCAGCCCAACGTCGAAGGGCAAGGCAAGCTTGGCAAAGGCCCAGGACAGCCGCGAGACCTCAATCGAGTTTAGCTTCTTGAAAACTTCGGGAGCACCTCAGGTCGAAACATGCAAGGCGCGGCACACATCTTTTCGCAGGCGAACCACAGACAAAAGCGTCACCGCTCTCACTGGTCAAGCGGCCTCGGCACAGCGCAACTCTGCAAAAGTCGGGCCCGTCAAGAGCCAGTCACGGCTTGCATGCAGGTCTTCAATTGGCAGGAATCCCAGGCCAAGGCCACAGTCACGGCTACGAGTTTCTTGCATTGACTAGGCCCTCCAGTAGAGAGGTTAGAATAAGGGTACCCTTTTTCTGTAGTCTATTTTAGTTGGGGAACCCTCCCCTGAAAAAGAGTAAAAGGGCACTGGGGGACCTAGTTCAATAAGCGTGTGGCTCCTAAACTTTGAAGGCCCGCCCTCGGCCCGCACCTCAACAGCTGGCCAAGCGAAGGGTGCTCTTCCATGATCCAGGCTTCCAACGGCGCGTCCGGCAAAGGAGCCTCCTGCAAACGTGCAGCTGGGAGACGCAAACGCGAGGGGAGACGCGAGACGCGAGCAACCCTCTCTATGGGTCGGAGATTGCTGCAACTCGGGACACCATGAGCCGATGTCAATGGTTGACTCTGCTTGTTGACAGCCACCAAAAGCGCACCGCACCCCAAGCAGGAAAGCATGCATGACTTGTGAAGCCTTGCCAAGACTCTGTAGCCGTGTCTGGAAGGTGTTGGGCGTGTTTAGGCTTCAACAGGGATGCAAATTAATGTGCAGAATCCCGCTCTCCCTTGGAGCCTGCAAAGCATGTCTCGAAATTATCATTTCAATCATTGTCAAGATTCTAGGCATCAAATCGCACGTTCAGCACAAAATGAATTCCTCGCAACACATCTTGGGACCTGGAAGGGAAAGCAATATTCTAATGACCCCCTGTACCGCCTCCAACGTCAGGTCTGCAGTCTCTGCCGGGATGTGCCCATGGAGGGTTTGGCTTCATATGATTCACATACTGAAACTCATTTCCATCTCTCTCTCTCTCTCTCTCTCTCTCTCTTTCGGCACCAACTCATTGCCATATCATCATGCCCATTTTCATCAAAAGATATCCTTCGCATGAGCCCGCGGGTAGACCTGGCATGAGCTGTCGGGTGAACCCCCGCCTGCTTGGCTGTCTGCGTGCACTTGCAGAAGACCCGCCGCCACACGCCGGAGGAATCCAGGCCGAAGGTGTCAACGCGGCGCCCAAACTCCACAGAGACCACCTTACATGCTTCCTGGGGTCCTGAATGGATTGGACACAAACTACAACAGACTATAAGAGCAAAACCTTGCACCTCGGCCTTTCGAGTCAGCCCGAATCAGGACGGACGGCGCCACACCTAGCCGCCTCTGCCAAGCCGCGATGAGGCCCTCGGTGGAGGGCTGGCTCCTGACCGCCACCATGGGCTTCCGCACCACCTCGAAAGGCTCACTTCGCAGGGCCACCGAGGGCTCCACCTCCTGCCATGGCGCATTCCGAACGTCGCAATCCAAACCCGGTACAAAGATGGCCGACCCAGAAGCATGCAAAGAACTACGCAGGCGGCCGCAGCTCTTCATCTCAGGTGCCAAGCGAGCCTATAAATTGAGCCCCGCCGAAAAAAAATCCCCCAACGATACCCGAAATCCACATGGCTGGGATCTGCCAGAAACACGAGCAAGCCATTTGGATGGATAACCGCTGCAAAGGCTATGCCAGGCGCAAGGATCCGCCCATGAGCTTTGTTTCAACCAACTTCCAACATACGCATGGTCCAACTACCGTCCGGTGCCAGAAACAAGGCCCGCCGCACGTTTTGGCGTCTTGTACCTGCTTTGGGCAGCGCACTTTGACCCGCCCATGGGTATACCTCCTGAACAAGTTCTTGCGGTTCGCCCTCGGCCTCCCCCTGGTGGATCCAAATCTGGGGCCCTGAGAAAAAGCAAAGTTTTTTGGGCAAGTCTGGTGAAACTATGCTTGTGTTGCATCAGTGCTGGATACATGTGAAAAGGCGGGAGGCACTTCTCTGCAACGCTGCAACTTGAGCCGACTCCAGCAACAAACGTCACGACAAAACCACAAAACCAAAAAAGGAAACAAGAGAAATAAACCACAACTAGCCAAGGATTCAAGGAGCTGAGTCACCCAGAGTAAGAAAGAAACCAGAGGCAAACAAAAGCAAACAAGGTGCACGATCAAGAGGAAGAATCTTGCTCGCTGACTGTGCTTGGGCCTCTACAGCTGCCAGCACAAGCCGCTCCCCAAACTCCGCGGCCAGAGCGGCCACGTGGGCGGTGTGGTCCTCTAGCACCTGGTCTTTTTCAACGCGGAGGGAGGGCAAAAGCCCTGGGCAAGTGAAGAACTGGCTGGGGAAACATGGGTGGAATAGCGGTTTTTGTTTGTGGTCTGTGGCCGGGTTCGTGCGAAAGCACACATGTTCAGTCGGCTGCATGGAGGGGAAAGATCCAACCAAAAAAACAAGAACCTGATGTAGGTCGTGACCTCTAAGAGCAAGGGCTGTTTGCAGTGTGCAGCGCGGTTCGGACTTCCAAGCGTAAGACATGGGAAACCTACACATATCAGCAAGGCCGAGGTTCTGTTGAGGCTTTGGTTGCTGCAGTAACCGAGTCGTTCATGCACAAGATGGCACATGAGAGGTTGACGGCACATGTCCAAGACGACGAGATATGCCATGCAGGCTCGATTTAGGAAGCCGACCGTCTAGCGTCACATCTTGTCCCCGTGTTTCACGGAAAATCGCAGACGATCCAGTCGCACGGCCTGGACAAACTGGCTACCAGGTCTGTCCCTGGCCCAGCCGGCCATGAGGCAAATGCAACAACTGAGTAACTGGGCGATCGAACGCCCGCTTGCCAAGCCAAGACTCTGCTGCAGGCTCCTGACACCAAACAGCAGCAACTGGTGGCAAGGCGCACCGGTTTTCGTGCGGCAAAGGCTGCGACAACGACTCCGTCACGAATCCAAAAGAAGAAGAAGAAAAAAACCGAGCCGAGCCGAGCCAGGAAGCACAAAGCGATGAGGAGAAGGTTGCCTCCCCCCGGCTCGCCGCTTCCAGACACAAAGCGATCGGCTTCAGCTCCTGGGCTTGCGGCCTGGGCTCCGGCTCGCTCATCTCTGCCTGACCCCCCCCCCCCGGCTCCAGCGACGGCTCGGATCCCATTTGACCCTAGCCCCTCGTTCCGAAACCTAAGGCCAAAGGCTTCCCCAAGGAAGCCTTGCCTAGAATATGCTGTTGGAACTGTAGCTCTGAGAATTCTGGCGGGGGCACCCTGGTGCCTGCCCCCAAGCCCTCAAGCCGCATGCGAGCGGAGATCTGACTCAGTTTTTGCTTCTTGCAGAGGCGGCACAAGTCCTTTGGTCCAGCTGACTTTGGCGGACGGCTTAGAAAAGAATCGCCGCCTCGGCTCGTATTTATTGACTGACCATTGGGACCAGTCGAGCAGGGAGTGAATGCCAGATTGAGCTTGAGGTGTTGGTATTGGGGCTCAGGTTTGGCGATGCGGCAAAGCGCAGCACCATTTCGAACCCGCCGAGAAAGGACAACATCTCACGTTCTTGAATGGTTGTGATGAGCTGTGGTGAAACTGCCTCAAAATCTGACATCTGACATCCATCATGCCATCCTGCAAAAGAATTTAGACTTGGCTCTGCTCGGACCATAAGCCTACTATCGTTTCGCTCCAGGCAAGCCTTGCATAGTCAGAACAGAAGCAACTGACTTGTGCAAATGGCGCTGTTCTGGCCATCTCCGCGAGGGATCCAACGACTCCCTCGCTAATGTATTTAGTAAGGGCAAGAGCCCGAAAAACGATTCAAGCTGAAAAACGAAGCAAGCTGAATCGTGCGCGCGACAACCACCCACTGAGAATGGGTTGATGACAGCTAAGCATAAGCTTTTGGATCTCAAAGCTCAACCGGCTCGCCCACCACCATGCCCATCCAACTGTCAAGAGCATCGCCATCTGCAGTGATGCTGATGAAACTGCCCTTGTACCCGATGTGGCTCAGGACACTGTCCTTGCACCCATGTATTCCAACGCCAACAACACGTGCACAGTTCAGACTGGCCTGCACACCTGCCCCCGGGCAAAACACCAATTTCCCGAGTCCCCTGCCTTCTTCAAGTCTTTGATGGTGGCCGTGTGAAAGATCGTCATCCACCCTCGCCCTCGGCGGACGTGGCAGCTGGACAGTGCACCGAGACAATCTTCCAGCTCCGCGACGCTGCTGGCCTTCTCATGCAACACCAGGGACTCCTGGCAGAGAGTCAAACCCAGGTGAAGTGTTTGGCGGTGTCCTACAACCGTGCGCCACCATGACGAGCCTAGGTCCTACGTTTAGCCAGGTAAGGTCATGACTTCGGAAACGTCAGGCAACCATGTCAAATTGCAGGCCACCCCCCCCCCCGAAAAGAAGAAAAAAGGAGGAAAAATAAAAGGAGAAAAACAAAAAGAAGAAGAAAAACGACCAGGCCTCAGTGCGCGTCGTGGCGCCAACCTCAAGGATACCACCATTATATCTGTGGATGGCTTCTTGGGCGTGCGCATCACTGAAGAAAGCAATCCTGGCCTTCAGGGTTCGAACCCCACTACCCGGCGCAAATCTCGCTTCCATCTGTGGCCCCCAACTTCCAAGAAGCTTCTGGCTGTTTCCCTTTTCGCGCTGGCGATTTTTTTCCCCCACTCCCCTTTTCCCCCTTCCCCCCCACCCCACCCCGAAAAAAAAAAAGAAGAAAAGAAAACCCGCTGGCGCCATCTTCTCGACGACCGTGCACTGCATCACCGGGCCCACGTGGACCTCGAAGAGCTGCTGCAGCTTCTCGGCTTGGAGCCGCTTCACCAAGTTGGAGACCCTCACCACCGCCGTCTTTGGCACCGGCGCCGCCTCCCACCTCGGACGTGTTGCAACAGGCCCCCCCCTCCCGAAAAACATTAGAACGGCCCAGGGCAAACGTGCTTTGTTGTTTCCTTTGGTTTGTTTGTTGCTTTTCTGTTCGGGACATCTCCTAACTCGCCCCTACAGCGGAGATTCAAGGCTCGAAGCTGACACCCTCCAAAGCGTCTTCGGGCAAACATGCAGATCCCATTGGGGAGAAAAAAGCACATGTTGGGATGGACTCCTTAGCCTAGCACGCCGAGCCAACTTCTCAAGCCACGCCACTTCTCTGCCGTTGGCTTCCGGATCTCGAACTTGGACGTGGGAACTTGTGGGGGGGGCATGAAAGCGTTGTCGACTTGCGAAACTGGAACTGCTGTAGGAATACTCCTTAGACAGCAGGCTGGAACTTCTTTGGCGGGAGGAGGTTGCAAATTCTCCAAGCTTGTGAGCGCGGTGATTAGCTCCTGTCAGACAGGGGTTCAATTCTATTCGCTGTACCCTGCCACTGTCCCACCGCTATTTCACAACATAGGTCCTTCACGGGAAGGTCAACCTTGAGCGAGATTGTGATGATCGGTGTGTCACCTTCGTCAAGCTTCCGGCATATCTCCACGCCAGAGCACGCTGTACTAACCGGTATCGACATGTGGAATCTTCGGGCTGGGGCCGGTAATACAACGTGGCTGCGGCTTATCAGGCATAATCGATCCATCCTTGCCCACTTGACCAGCCATATGCTCACAATGCCTACCTCGCTTTGCAGATTTAAAGCCAATAATTCAGCCGGTAGCGTGGCAGCAAATCCAGGAAACCCTGGCCTTCTCGTTCGCAGGCCGCAGCAGCATGCCAAGGGAAGGGTGCCGCAGCATGACCCAGGCCTCTCCAGAACTGCACGGGAAGAAGCCCGAAAGCATTAACAGCACATAGGTCATGTGAGATGGCATGGGGCATATGGCTTGCCTTTTGGTTTGGCGTGGCAAGAGGCTAGAATCAAATGCAACACCTGGAAAGATGCTCTGCACCATGACATAGTCTGACATCACGCTATGAGCTGCGATCACTGCAGCTGCTCAAAGTGCAGCTGCATCATTGCACAATGCTAATGTTACGTCTGCTCATGTCGCAACATTTCGTGCCTTGGGATTGGACGCACAACTATCTAGTTCATGTGATGAAACATTGAGAAACCATCACGCTAACGTCTTTCCCTTGCAGACATGGCAAGTTCAATGAGTGCCCTAATCTTCGTGGAAGATTTGAGTGAGAAACCCCGTGTGCCCCACAACTGGACATGTGTAACCTCCCACTCCGAGGAAAAAACGAATCCCGCCTCCACCAGGCTGCCGTATCCCCCTCGCAGCCGAAAGTGTAGCTTGCGCCAGTTGCCCGTTTCATCTGCCTCCTGAGTCAACCAACCGGTTCCCTGCTTGGTCCCGAGTGTCCAACCGCTCGGCGATTTCCGGTTGCGCCCATCAGTGAGCAATCGAGCTGATTGGGAATTACATCGCTTGACAGGCCCGGCGTGCTCCAAACCCTCCCTCTCACCTCCCCCCCCCAAACAAAACAGTGTCTTGGCTCTTGGATGCCTTTTCATATGGTAAAAAACTCCCAGAAGGGCTTCCCAGCGATTTTCTTGATGGCGACGTCCGCGCCGCAGCTGCCCAACGAGCGTCAAAGAGCTGCAGGCTTTGGCCCTGCTCGCAGGCGCCGAGGACGTGGGAGTCGCTGCAGGGCCGCTTCCGGATCGCCACCTTCCTTGGACGGGGCGCACGGGGCTTAGACAGATGTGCGGTTTTGGGGTGAGAGGACGGACCGCGATTTTGAGGAACCCTCCAATTTAGATATGGCCATGGGTCAAAAGCCCGGTTACCCCCCAGTGAACATCCCAATCCCCACTAAAATAGGTTCTAAAATGGGTGGTGAATTCACCCACCAACCAGAATGGGATCCCAAAACGGTTTTGACAACCACGGCCATATGGGTGCTCTTCTTCAAGGCGGGCGGAAAAGAGAAACCAAGAGGCACCATTGCTGGGCTGCCCGTTTTCGGATCCCCCGCGAAAAGTGACTAACTTTTAGTGGACTAAATTCGGAAACTACCACTAAACACTAAAAAGCTAAAAGGCTAAGGAACCGGATGGCTGGGAGCCAAGATTGTTGGGGTCGCCCAACGATGTGCTGGGAGCCGGCTGCGACAGCGCTGGAGGCCAAATTTTGGCACCAATGAAGTCCGACAGCAGTCGTGCAAGCTTTGGGTCGCAAAATGTTCAAAACCTACGTGCTCTGACGCTGGGAGACGCTGCAACAACTTAATGATCTATTTGTCGCAGAACCGCTAGGTATTATACAATTGCTTGGGCAGCATTATACGATTGGCGCGCTAGGCCAGTCCCTCCTCAGGTAGCTCATGGTGGTGGAGAATGAGCAGAGACAGGTGCCACCTTCGAAAACAACTGGTGCTCCATAATGCACTGGGAATATTCCCATCGCGCCTGTGCCGCAAAGTCCAGCAATATTGAATTTTAAAACAAGTTGTTGTAAACACCAAGCGAAAAGCCCAAGCGGAAGGCCCTCTGTTGCTTCAGCCAGATTCACACCAAGGCTTTGAACATACTCTTGCAGATCGCATTCCTACCGGCCTCTCGCCTGAAAGTGGCGGACCCAGAAAGAATACATGCAACTTGCAGTTACTGCTTCCATAGAGTGCAGAGGTCTGCATTCTGCCCGTGGCCTCCGAGTTGTACGTTGGCAAAGCGTCTTGTACACCACAACATGCTCAATGCCATTTTTCTTCTCCTCCCCCTCAGGAACGTAGATCAGCGGATTTTTCCTTGGACACAACCAACACAGGCATACTGTGCCGCGTGTCGACATCATGGGCAATGCCCCTCATGATCTTCAGGCCTCTTTACATACGGGGTGCCAAAGATTCGCCCACTGGAAGAACCAAAGCACCTCAAAATGTGCCCAAGGGACTCGTCCACGATGAAGCCTGCCTCATCCAAGAGGTCCTGCGAAGGAACAATTACATCGGCAAAGCAGAGATAGATAGGGTGCGATTTGGATTCCCCGACCCAGTGCGGTAGCAGTCCTTCCTCGAGGTTGACTCCTGGCGCGTGGACAGCAACTGTTCGACCGGAGCAGCCAACACAGAGGTGCTGTGGCAAACCAAGTGCACATCAAAGACCAGCATGCCAGACTGATTCTTGTCAACTTGCTTCCGGATCAAAACAGCGATGAGCAGTGCCTCAGCCATTCGCACCAAAACGCCACTCGCTCGAGGGGCCTTTCACATTCGAAGGGAAACCGCAAGCCCAGGTGCGCAGGCCCATGGGTGCAGGAGTGCATCGATGCATGGCTCAAGAGAAAGCATGGGTGGTGCCCAACCACGGCATGCGAGAAACAAACGCGACAAACTGGAGAAAAGGAAGAACTCTGTGAGCGCAAGGAGAACCAGTCAAATGGCCCCAATAAACATCCCGATCCCCACTAAAACCCCGACTAAAAAGTGGGTGGTGCCCCTCCAAAATGGGATTCCAAAACGATTTTGACAACGGCCAAATGTCAGATCCGCCTGGTACCCGGCCACCGCGCCACGCAGTGCCAGCAGCTCCTCCCGGGCCTCTCTCTCCGCCTACGGAGGGCGGATGTTCAGCCGGTAACCGGAGAACGGCCAGTGGCTGACAAATCTGATGGCTATGATTTGTTTCATTGGGGACGACGGGTATGAATTTTAACTCATTTCTGAGGGGATTTGTATTACACCCTGGGATTACACCCTTGGAAATGAGCCAGAATGGTTCAAAATAACACGGTTTTATCCGGAAATGTGCCTGCCTAAATGGGGTCAATACCCAGTGGGTGCATTCCGTAATACAAAAACCCTTAGATCATTGGGGACCCTTTGGTGGACACCATTCAGGTGGTGATTTCTGTTGGACACCATTCAGGTGGTGATTTCTGTTGGACACCATTCAGGTGGCGATTTCTGTCCCCCAACCACTTTTCAGGGGTTCCCTAGTGAAATTCATGGCCAAATATCAAACTGACCAAATTCGCGGACGTGTCCGCGCCCGTTTGTTCGTGCCTTTCTCGGGGAACAATCCCTGTATGCATGCACATGTCCTCAGAATGGGTCAGAGCGGACAAGGGAGGATTGGATCACGATGTAAAACAAAGAAATGATAAGAAAAGAAGAAAAGAGAATAAAGGAAGCGATGCGACAAGGAAAGACAACCCGAAAAAAGGGGGAAGAGAAAAGAACAAGCAAATCAAGTGGATATAGACAAAAGAAAGAATGGATTGCAAAACACGAGACAACACAAGGAGAAAAGGATATGAAAAGGAAAAAGACAAAGGCCGCACTATGATGTGGACCAAAGAAAGAAAGTGGAAAAGAAACTAGCAGGGTTTGCAGGAAAGAAAAGGCAGATAAGCAATAGGAAGAGAAAAAACAGGAGAACACACAGAGAAAGGGCAGAAAGGAAGAAGGTACAAAAGGCGTCTCTCTCGGCAAACATCTCCCAGCAGATCCCTCCTCTAAGGAGGCCGAAAAAGCACCATGGCGCCCCATGGCTGCGCACATAGGAAAGAACCTGCTTATATCTGTTTTGGGGGCTACCCACTTAGACGGTGTTGCTTTGGTGTCCCTTTGAAGCCAGCCCAAAATGGGTATCCTCGAAAAAAGACACCCATATAAAACTCAAAATGACCAAAGCAGTGGTCAAGCGTGGTCCGTTGTTAAAGCACACTGGATTACAAAGGGTTCCCTAAGTTTCCCTGAGGCGGGCGGCAAGGGAAGGGGGGGAAATTCATGAAAAGCAACCAAGCAGTTTGCTGGCATTATTGGCATCAATAGTGCACATTCCCTCACACATCTTGGGCATGCCTCGAGCCAGGTTCGGAGGCCAGAGACGCTGACGCATTGGCAGGAACAAGTAGGCTGCAGTCAGTCGGTGTCCAAGAACTGATGGAGGACTCAGGCGGGATGAATCCCGTTCATAGGAAAGCCACCATTACTTCGACAACTTGCGCAGTAATTCCGGAACTAGGTATTATCCCTCAAGAAGGGTGCTACTGAGCTGGGAAGCTTGCCTCGTCTTTACAGGCCGGACAGGCAGCGCGCAGGTCACAGCGTGGGTCGCGGCGCGCCCTTCGCACCCCGGATGCCAATGTATTCGGGGCCCGAATACAAAAGTCGTAAGCAAAAAGTCACAAGTTGAAGCTGCGCATTTCTGGCTTTCGCAAGGCCAGTCTGTTCAGCCTCCAGATCGCATCCAGGTGGCACATGTCGATACTGCGTGCAATTTGTGGCACACAGCCGCATCGCCTGGGTGAGACTTGGCGCCAGCTCCACCATTGCCTCCTTTCGGGCAAGGGGAAAAGTGGCTTGCCAGTGCTCTCGAAACAGTCGGGACAACATAAACATTGGCATTCGCACAAAAATGTCTTCTGAGTCTTAGTCCCAAAGCTCAAGTCGCTCAGCAAAAGTAAAGCCAGGAAGCCCTGCGTCCATGCAGGTCGGCCAACGGATCGAATTACGGACCAGCTCTGCGTTTTACACACGTTGGAATGCATTGTCACCCTTATGGACTTTTCTTGCAGCAGTTTGGGAGATAGAGTCGTAGGAAAAGTCTGAGCATTGAATACCACCACTGTTGTTCAGAGGCTAAGCCTCCAAACTCTCAGAGCAAAGCTGTGGATTCTGCCAGGATCAGCAGCGCTCAACATCCTGAGTGCACTGATCACGGCCCTCTGGCTATGTCAAATGCAAACATGCAAATACCAATCATTGTCGTGAATTCTCCCCCCACCATTTCATCCAAGTGTCGCAAGCAGGCCTGCCAACTGCTCGGCCTGTGGCTGACTGCTTACTTCGTACAGCTTCCACGCAAGCTGGCTTGTTGGCCAGCGGGGCATATTCTGTGGGACGACAACACATTCTGCCCTCTTGGGTGGTATGGCGCTGCACTGCTGCCTCTTCTCTGATCGACTGCTTCAACATCTACAGTACTTTCTACTGCACGTGTCAAATCCACACCGGTGGCCGGGCCTAATCCTGGTACTGGTGCTGCCAGTATGGGTTGCTGAGCCACCTGAAAGCAATTGAAGGTGCAACGTGACCACAGGGGTACGTCCAAAAGAAAGCCGAAAGGCGCAAACCGCCAACACTTTGCCGCCTTTCTGCGCAAGGCGGCGGCCAGACACGATCACGTCAACAATAAGTTGGCAGTGCCAAGACGCCTCAGGAACTCCTTGTAGTTCACAAGGCCGTCCTGATCCTTGGCACGAAATGGAAAAAGCTGTCGATGCTTTGCTGCGCTTTGCAGAAAGGAAGCACGGCAGTGTGTCCACAATCTGAGTTCAACAACACCGCAAACCGGCGGCAAGCAAGGCCAGCAAGGATCGCAAGGCTCACATGCTGTGAGAAACGCCACCCCCTCACACAGCCACCCAAAAGAACACACACGCCGACCAGTAGACCAAACGAGGGTGTCACGCTGCCGAGCCGCCGGGTCCGCAAAGAGCAGCAGCTCATCCACCTCCTGCTCGCTCAAGGGCGCCTGGCCCTGGCCAATCGCACGAGCACGAGAAGAGGTCTCGCCAAACCAACCGAGCCGGCCACGGGGCAAAATCCCGGTGAGCCCCCAGTGAACATCCCAATCCCCACTAAAATAGGTTCTAAAATGGGTGGTGCACCTATCCCAAAATGGGATCCCATTGGTTTCGACCCACAGCCAGCCGTTCTCAGGACGAAGGAAGAAACCCGCAGCGTTCCCGCGAATCCCACCAGTTCTCACAGTTCGCCCAAAGAAGGTGGTGCCTCTTTCATGAGCAGCGCACGCAATTCAACCGCCGGAATGTAGTCGTCCTGGTCGGAAAGCAAGCTGCCGCCTTGCCAAAAGCCGCTTGCCGAAATCCGCTCGGCGACACAACACTCAGGCTCCCATCGTTGCCCCCATGCTCCATGAGAATTTCGAGGCCCTGTTAGACCACGCCGGCGCTCGCGCCCGTGCCGCAGGTCCTTGTTGTCATCCAAGGCCTCGCACGTCAGTGCAGGCTTCAGCTATTTAGCCGGAGATGCTTCTGGGGCCTTTCTCCTACCATCTACCAGTGATTGTGACATTGGCCTCGTTATTTTATCATGATCAAAGTCACCCGCTCAGTGATGGGTTAAAGGGAAACATTTGACAACCCCTAGAAACGGTCAAAATAATGACCCCAGTGACATGCACAATTTCAGGAAAAGGTGTCAGTGATCTTCGCGTCCAAACTGTAAACCCAAGCTAGCAGCGCTGCTGGTGCGATCTAACCCCCACCCCCCACCGCCCCCAGGCCCGCAACCGGCCTCAAAGGTGTGGGGCGCCGAGCTCATGCTGTCCTCGCCCAGCAGCTTGCCTCAGGCAACGCAGAGGGCCGCCGAACATGCTGGATGCAAACCCTTCCGGATAGTATCGTAAGCAAAGGCAATGAGCAGTACATAGCGCGTGCTAGAAGAATATGTGACTGTTGACACATATTGTATGTCAACAATTGCAAGCCTTCTTTACGCCCTCAGCTCCACGTGCTTCAAACACGAATGAAGAACGCCCTGGTTCAGAAAAAAGTGGTGGCACCGGCAGTTTGCCTGGCCTTGCCAGCCAAATGCTGACAGAACCCGGTCATTCTAGAAAATGTTAACTCCCACGCAGCAGCATGCCAGCAGATTGAAGTATTGCGGAAGGAAAGTTCCAAAGAAGGCCTGACATGCCGAGGCACGGGTCATGATGCCCCGCCACTCGTGGTAGTCGATCCTGCACAGCCCAGAATTGCTGAGTATGTCACGTAGTGCTTGCTTCTGGCAAAAGTGTTCATCAGGTTTGCCCAATGCTGCCAACTGCCGCTAGGAGAATTCACCAGAGTGAAAGCAACGGCAAAAGCGAACCAGTTTCATTCCCACCCCGGACCTAGCCACATCCCCCCGCCTGCCATCGTTGTTGGCATCGATGTCATCGATCTGCGTCGATGCATGCGTTTTTGGGGTTGCAGAGTGCAAGTTTTGGGATGGCAGGACTGTTTGCGTTCACTCCGCATTCCCTACCTGATGGACTTACAACGGCATGTCAACCATGAAAACCCTCCACTGGCAAGCCGTTCGCAAAGGCGTAGACATGGAGACCAGCGATGCCCAGTTTCTATTCATGACGAATCTGCACTACTACCTCAAGCTGTTCGCATGCTGGACAAAGCTGTAACCAGAATCCATGGGAACAACATACTCCACGTCCGCTTGCCATTGATGGACTGTGCGCGAGAAAAATAATGGGCTTGATGCATAGCACTCGAAAAATCCAACCGTTCTACATCCAGTATCATCTCACCACCCGCTCACCCCGCCATGAGCTGCACATCGTGAATATCTCCGGACGCATCGATCTGAAGAAATGCTTGGCGCAAAGAATCCTTAGCCAGCCCCCGGGTGTGCGCCACAGGCATGGGTGACCTAAAAGGACAGAAGCTCTGCAACTGAAATGTAACTAACATGTTCAGAATATAATCGCAATATAGGTGCATACATGGCTGTGGCTCAAAGAACCGGTGCCCAACGTGGAACCCTGGTAAGTGGACACATGGACCAAAACCTGCGAAACCTGCGTTACCCCCCCCCCCTGTTTTTTTTTCTTTTTTTGAAGCCACATTTGTATGATGATATGATGCTGAAACGGCCAACCGTGGAAGTGGAGCAAAGCCACAATGGTGATGACCCGGATGGGATTGTCCTTGGCGTCCTTCTCGTCCGACTCCTCCAAATCGGATCGAAGCTGGAGCTCCGAAGCAGGGTGAGAAAAAAATGCGGAGACGTTGACGTGAAGGAGTGCACTGCAGCCCCAGTAATCAAGTAACCACTTGCAAAACGGAGAAAACGGCAAGCTACTTGAAAGCTCCGCCATGGTGAAACAATGATGGGCGCCTGCAAGCGATGCTTGGACTTCCCTTTGCCCTGGCCATGAAGTCACATTTTGAAATAAAGTCCTCGCTGAAGGATTCAAAGGATACCTTGATGATCTCCTGCCCAATCTTTTCGGCTGACTACGACAACACTTGCACGCTTGCACGAAAACTCAAAGATGATGAGCGCAACGAAAACAAAAACTGACGTGCTTTAGTCGCAGGGCGGGCCCATGCCACGCAAGAAGGGGCATGAGAAAGGGTACATGCATTGTCCACACCATTCCTAGTGCCCTCTCCCAAACAAAAGAAACGACTCTCCAAACTCCACTAAACCAGACCGCTTATCAAAAAAGAATCCTGTCCCCTTTCTTTCTGAAGGCGCTGTCGCAGCTGAACACAGAACAGGAAAGCTATGTGCATAGCTGCACAAGAAAGTGGTGCAAAGCAGACCTGCGCAAAGCAAAGCTGCGCAAAGGAAGAGGTGCGGAAACACAATACTTAGCAGCCAAGATTCTCGCACCACAGCTACCGGCAAAACACGCTGGGTTGCCTCGTAGAAACACCACTGGAAACATGAGAAGCCAAATGATGTAAACACCACCTCCACCACCATGACGATGACGTAAAACCAGCGTATCACAAACATAAGAAGCCGATCAGACCAAGATCTAAGCCGTAACACAAACAAAAGGCTTCCCTGGACTTAGCCTACACTGTAATGTTGACCCCGGATTAATATCCGCTGTGAGTTAACATGGCAACATGGGGGTGTTCCCTGCAAAGTGATGAATCCCCACTAAAACCAGTCAACATTAGGTCACAAGCCTTCCGAGTGGACAATCGGTGCATGATTGCCACTGATCCATCCACGCAATCAACGCTCAAGCCAACAGCGTTTTTCACAGCATATTTGCACTGCAAAAAAAGGCAAGAACGCAAGAGCTGCATCAGCCCACGCAGCACATCTAGCAGGTGACTGCGTACGACAATGTGACAGCATGAAAGCACGGCCTTCACGCAATTGCACGAGATGATTGTCTGCACAGGTTCCCCTGCTGCAAGGGACCTTGCTGCAATGTGTCCCATGAAAACAGGGTCCCTTGCTGCAATGCAATGTGCACTGGCTGATGACCAAGATACAGACCCAACCGTGGATGAAGGGAGAGGTAGAGTTGACTCTCTTGTCCATCCGGCCCATCATATCAGCCTTTGGTTTAACTCCGAGAAATAGCAAGAAAAGGATGTGATGGCACAGATGCGCCGACAAGCCGCCATCAGAATCCTTTTGTCACAGCTTCTTGGCGAGCCACGAATCAAGGGTTAACCAGGGAAGGCATGAGTGAGCCACAAATCCATCTCATTCTATCCCAGGTCTTCTCTTCGCCATGGCATGCGAGCGAAGAGAATGGCCAAGGTGCGCAAACAAGAAAAAAAACATAAACAAAATAAAGAATATGAAAATATGAAAATGATATTGATATAAAAATCAGACATCGAAAATAGACAAAATGAAATAGAAACAAACAAAACTATAGAGTACTAAATAAATAAATATGGTTGTATATTATTATTATTGTTATTATTATTAGTAGTATTATTATTATAATAAAAGAAGAAGAAAAGAAAAAAGGAAAAGAAAAAGAAGAAGAACAAACGCATACAATGATAGAATAGAAAGATAACATAAATAGATTGGGTGCTTGATTTATCTCTGGATCAGCGCAAACGAATGACGACTTGATGATGAACAGGAATCTCTCTGTCTTCCCGTTCTTGCCACGTCTATTTTGCCTAGGGCCATCCGGCACATCTTTTGCCACGGCTTTTCCGGAGCCCGGGCCTCCTCTTGCGGGGTCAACTTGTGCCGGAACAGGCGGTTCCCAGTGGCATGGCCCGCGGGCCCTCCGTAGTATCTCAGAACACGCCAGTGTAAGCAGTAAAAACTGGGCATGGTCCGTCCCCGCTTCCCATGTGACTGTGACGCGACGCACCGACAAATCCCAGCAATTACCTGTCAAATGGGCCTAAATCAAGGCAACCAAGCACCCCCAGACCCCACACAAACCTGAGCATGGTCCCAACCGCAATTCAGCTCAGTTGCGACATGGCCGGCGCGGCTTCTGGAACACTTCAGATCTAACGCTGGAGCCAGAAAGTATCGATGGCACTGAACCCAGAAACTCATCTTGGCGGAGCACTCCGCAGAACATACAGCTGGTGGATTGGTTGTGTGTGAATTGGGTGTCTTGTCTTGGGATCAAACAGCGACCGGCTACACAACTGATGCTACACTCACGACGTCACGACCCAAGCCCCCGCGCGTCCGCCGGTGCCAGATCCTGCCCTTCTGCGCGGGTCGCTGCGAGCCTGGCTGGCCACTTGTGACGCCCGCACGCCAAAGCTGGAAACCAACGCCCCTTGCCAGGATTTCGGGAAAACATGCCAAATTTTAGAATACATTCACGTCGTGAATGCAAACCATGCTACAGTGATATTCATGTCACAAGCTGAGTTCATTCGGGTTCTCCGCTGCATCCCTTCACGGCCGAGCCATGCCTCATGAAGCCCTGGTGGAGGTAGCCAGCAGTGGCACAGGCCATGGCCAGGGAGATGATCCTAAGCAAAGAAGAAAAAAAAAGAGGGGCTTGGTTACTCTCTCCGGGAACCTCAGGCAATGTGGTATGTGGAGAGCAGTGTAGCTGGAGCTTCCGTGGAAACTGAAAAGACAAATGAAACATCTTAGCCCAGAACAGCAGGCAACCCAACATGATCGCCACTTGCTGCATGTCTCACTTATCCTGGGGGCCGGTTGCTTGGACGCGGCAGCGACCCGTCTGCACCAAAACGCTCCGGTTCAGGCCGTACCGCCGTACCTGTTCGCACCTGCCTAGAAAAACTCTTGAACTGTGAGGCTTCAAGATGTCCGTAGATTCATGGGTTCATTGAATCCATGGCGTTGCCGGAATCAGAAAATCCAAAATCCAAACTCCCCGGCTCCGGCAGCTCCAAGCGCCGGCGCAGCGCCTGGCTGCAAGAAAGCGGGACGAACAAAACCCAGGCGCAAGTAGTTTGTCGAAGCCGGATTTGCCAAGCTTCAGCCGGCATGGATTCCTTTCCTTTCCATACGCAGCGCCAATGACGCCTAGCGTTCTTGAGACCAGCACTATCGTGCCCATTTGCAACATGCAAGATTTCCACTGAACAGGTCTTCAACATGTGGGAGAAGGGCGGATGATGCAAACCACCGCGTGGAGAAAAGCTTCGTGGGTGATTGGTCACTCAGCTCCGTCGCTCACCTCTTCCAAGATCAAGTGGCAATGGCTCAATAGGACTGAGAGTCTTCTCCGACCAAGGTCTTAAGAATTTCATAAGTATGCGTTGATACTGCTTCAACATGGTGCGAGTGCTTACCCCAATTCCAAGCCATGACTGTTCATTCGCAGGGCCAGCAGTAGAATGCGATGCCCAACCTCTTCACAAATGTTGCCCATGATGTTCGCATCTGGAACGGTCCTCAAGACACTGAATGGCTGACATCAAAAAGCCAATTGAAAGCAGTTGTCTGACAAAGAACCCCAGAATATTCAGGCGTTCTCCATCCCAGACTGCAACCCGATAAAACTCACATCTTCACAAGCTCGGTTGACAAGCTGTTGCTGACGCAAGACACAAAAACACTGTGGGCAAGTCACGTCCAAAACCAACGCAAAAATTGGAGCAACCTGGGATTGTCTCTCCCTAGCACTTGAAATTCACATTGGGAACGTTGGAGAAGCTTAAAGCAACTTGCGTCAATAAAGCCAGCTCTGCGACAAGCAACCGCAACAGCCGTGTAATTACTGTACTACATTAACTTGATCATATTCAGTTCGGCGACGAGGGTTCCCTGGGATGATGCAAATGCCTCGCCCGTGTTCACTGAAAGAGGACCGACAAGTCGGCTGCGGCCGTGGGAACTCCTTTGATCACTGAATCTTGGTGGACACATGCGTTACACCACGCTGGTGTATTGCTCTTGCTCTTCTTCGTGGAAGCCTATCGAACAAACAGCCAAACACAGGGTCAGGCCTGAATGGAGCGCGACAAGCGAGTGGTTACTCAGCTGGCCCGTGGGATGAACAGCTTTGCAAGAGCCTTGCTGCCCCAAATCCCAGCTGAGCTCCCTGGCTGTGCCCAGGACCTGTGCCATGAATGGCTGCGCGGGATGTAAAGCATCCCCAAATGTTGTTAACCCGCAGACAGGCCGCTTCATGCACGGTTCACGGCAGTTTGGTTCTTGTGGCCAGCAATGTTGTAAAATGCATGTCCAGGCTGTTCCTCATTGGTGCCTTTGTTTTAGACCCATGCCGAGCTGATTGCACCGTTGTGTACACAAACAGCATGCTAGCGGCTGGCGACCACGAAGCGGATTGAGTGGTGATTTGGCAGCTCCACGAAGCTGAAAAAACACCCTAAAATGACACGTCCACACTTGTTTGCCTCTCACGTGAGTTAGCAGCCGGTGGGAAAAGCATCATTGTTAAAGGTATGGGTGGCGACATGATTCGGAACACCCGGCCAGGCGCCCGCTCCAGGCAGCGACAACAAGGTCCCGGTCGTCGAAGCATCTGAGGCGGCATCTCGTGGCGCCTTGGAGGCCCTGCGGAAAAACCCGGGCAATGGGAGGACCACGCCAAGAAACAGTCGGCAGCTTTGGCATGTTCCATGGCGCTTCCTTCCTGCCTCCCTCCCCTGCCTCCGGGCCGCACTGCAGCCGAGCCAGGCAGGAAAGCACCCGGGCCTCGGCATCGTCTCTCGCGCGGAGGCGCCATGGAGCTCGAGGCCAGAGCCAGCTGCTGCGGGCTGAAGTGCTGCGCCTGCGTGCCAATTGCATTCCCTGCCCATAAAAGTCTCCTGAAGTCCACCCGAAATTTGCCTGCAAGCGAGCAGCGGAGCTATCTGAGGTACAGCCCGGAGGGCCAAGGCATGTTCCCTATGCACCCGATAGGGATCCCCAGGCCCGACGCACCCAGCCGTCTCCTCTGCTTCACAGCGCCGCTGCAGGCAGCTGATGAAATCGCTGGGGCAGCGTTCCGGGGCCCGGCTCTGCGTCCAAAGCCTCACAACTCCCGACCGCATGGGGCGAGTGCGCAAGCCGCAATGGCAAGGTCTGATTTCGGCGGCGCACTGGGAACAAATCGGCATGAACAACTCCTCATGGCACAGCGTCCGAAGCAGTGGATGGTATTTGGACGGAACTTCGGTCGGCGTTTCAATTCTTATGCGTGCAACCAAATGGCCACCCCGGAAATTTCATCCATGACGACTCGGGGGTGGGCCCACGCTTACATGTCCTCTCGGCCATTTCCATCCTTGTCACCGAATACACACATGCTGTTTCATGTACAATTTCTCGGCGCTTCCGATGCGACCAGTCGGGCGATAAATTGCGCCCTTATTTGTGTAGCGTAACTCTGTTGACCTTGGGACCCCGCAAAGTACAAAGCTCCGCATGGCCACAGTGCTCCACCTGCAGACAAGGCAAGGCAAGTGGATGCAAGCATTGGGAGTCAGCTTGCCTGTGCTCGCAAAAGTATGACATCTCGGCTGCCCAAAGCGCTTCCTTGCATTTTTTCCGCGAAGCTTCCACGATGCGGCGCCATGGCTGCGATTTCTATTGAGCGCTGCGCCTAGGGCTACAGCAACCGCTTTGATGCAGCACGCGAGCGTAGCAAGAAGCTGGCGGCTCACACAAAACTGAACGCTGACGTGTTTCTAGTGATGCAAGCCTGAAGCGGGCTAGGCCCGAATTCTGGCAAACCGCGGAACTAAAGCGAATTGTCCGGCCCCGACCCATCACATTGCTATATTCCCATCCTCCATCCTGCTTGGGCACATCCATCATACTCTCTCTGCCTAGTCCTTTCGCGAAGAGCAGGGAAGGATTCGTGCAACCTGCCGTCCTTGCGGCATGCGGAGGCATCGTGGGCAGTGTGCAGTGTCAGCTGCATGCGTCATTGCGGTTGGCCCTCCCTCCACTGCTACAATCTAATACACATCCTTCTCAGTGTTGCGAATGCATGGCAAACCGAGGGGAAGTCAAACTGGTAAAGCGATGTCAGGCCGCAACATCGCATCCGAACCGGCAAGTGGAGCGCATGATGTCTGAAAACTGCGTTCCAGCCACCCTGCAGTCCGCAAGCTGGCACTATGGACCCCAGTGGAATTGGCCAATAGTGTTGCCGATGCAAGGAGAACTTTGGCCACTTAATTTCATGCCCCCTTCTCCCAAACCCTTCTTACCTTAGCTAAGCCTTAGGAGAAAGGTGAATGCCCCCCTGAAAATGAGCCTATGACTTTAAAAACTATGAACTGGCAATGATGTGCAGGCCAAGCGAGTGAGTGCAGCAGAAATGAAAAGGAAACATCCCTGATCAGCATGTAGCACTGATCAAAAGAAGGAAAGAAGGACACATTCACGTTAACTTGTTCAACGCATCGCCGCGCTCGACATTGCACGACCTCGGTGGCCGAATTTAACGACAAAGCACGCAGTGCCTGTCAAGCGTGAATTAGAAGTGCATTCCTAGCACCTCCTTCGCCTGCCGGCCTCCAACGTCTGAATGGACACATGGATAGGGAGGCCGCTGGCAAATTAACCCAGACTTGCCATGCTGAGGTTTTGCGTGTCAAAGAGCCTCTTTGAGGGCCCTTTGGTTTCCAGCCGCATGGGGGCCAGGTCCTCAGGTGCGCGGTCGATGCCTGGCTCAACCGCCGCCCCTGCAGCCAAGTTTGAGTGCTCTTGGCGATCCCCTGGGGCAGGGGCTCTTCGCCCCCGCGTCAGGGCTTCCGGCGCGGGAAGGGCGCGGGCTCCGCCCGGGCAGGGGACTTGGGAGACTCAGATGCGAGCGGGGGAAGAGAGCCGCGAAGTCCTCGTAGGCGAGGCAACTTCTGCCTGCTGCCTCGAACATGCGCATTCGCTGCTCCATGGGCACCGACAGCACAAGGCCCAGCCCAAAAACGAAGTCGTTTCTGCTTATGCAGCCATCGGCATCCCTGTCAAAGGCTCGGAATGCGGCCTCGATTCCTCCGAAGTGCCGCCACACGGCCGAAAGGATGGCAGCAGTGCTGCGTGCATCCGACGTACATGCCACTTCCGAGGGGCCCGACCATGGTGACCAGCCGGAATCGTTCAGCGCGCGGACCCGGAAGACGTAGCGAGTGCTTGCTGTGAGGCCCGTCACTTTCGCCGCGGTTCGGGTGGCGCGGATTCGCCGGCCCTCCGTGGGCGCCGGGCCCGAGGAACCCTGACCACACCACAGCTCGTACTCAAGCAAATGCGAGTCCTTAGGCACACGGCACCCCCCACAAACGTCGGCAACACGTGGCCTGGAAAGACACTTGTTGGCGCCCAAACGGACTCTGCGAGATTTTTGCGTTGGAGCTTGAGTTCTTGCAGGCCAATGCGGTTAAAATAAACAAAAGGTCGATGTGCAGTGACCGAGCAGTTTCAGGCAAGCCTCGCTCTCCGGCACGTCCCACTCCACAAACAAAGACCAAGCGCTTCGCTGAACCAAAGGCCCTCAGCTGCGTGCCAAGTTGTCCGCATCTTGGCCTTTAGCCATTAGCCATGCCAAAAGCCAAACAAATGGTAGCGACATGACCTTGAGTTGCGGCATTGGAAGTGCTCCCCCAACTGCTTCGAAGGCAAAAAAACACGTAGCCTGGAGCCGGCTCACACGTGCCGGACTCAGCCTGGCCAAGTCATGAGGCTTCCTGGCCCTGGGTTCAAAAGGAATCAGAAGAACGACCAACCGGCCAGGCAAAAACTCATGGGCTAAGCGCGCGGGCGCCGCATGGAACAAAAAAGAACACGCGCTTCGCCCCCCCACCCCCAAAAAAAAAAGAAGAACGGCTTTGAGCCGGCCAAGGCGCGGGGCGGGCTGGGCCTGCCCGGCACCTGCGCGCAGCAGCGCGGCGTGCTCCAGCGGCTCCAGGGGCTCCAGCCCGCCGCCGTCTGCGCCCTGAGCTGGGCGCAGTAGCTGCCGCCCAGCTCCAAACCTCAGCCAGCTCCAAAGCCTTTGGCTGTGGCCAACAATGGCCCGGTCCAACATTGGTCCAACATTGGCCCCTCCTCAAACAATCCGAAGCCTTTGGCCCTGCAAATCGATCAAACCACAGATCACCTTCCCTTTCCCCGGACGCCCCACCCCCGTGAACCCTCCCCCTTCCCCTTCTCACTTGCTGAGTGGCCATGGGCCAGGTCCAGGACTTCTTCTTTCAGATGCCCCAAACAACCACTTGCGTCAATCGCTTTTTTTGTAGGAACAAGCGCCACCCCCCCCGACAGCTCGGCACTTTCAGCCTCGCTCCCCATAATCTATGCGAGTCTCCAGCCAGCTTCACCTGCAGCCCTTCCACCACTGTCTGCGCCAAAATCCTCTTGTCGCTGAGTGCCACCCGAACCTCCCAAGCTTCAGGCGCGCTAGGTATATGTCAACCACCTCGCCGACAACATTAATTGATACAAAACAAGAAGCCAGGTGAAAGGGTACGCTTGTTATCAAGTTCAGCCTGTCAGGCAAGGGGGCATCAAGAGAGGCATGAGACAACAACCTGGCCTCGTACTGAAGCACAGGGTCTTCGCAGTCCTGCACAAAAATGCATCAATACCTTCACTTTTACGGAATCATGCCGCAAACCAACCTGCAGCACCAGCACCAGGCCTGATGCGCCAAGGGGCCTTGAATTCGAAAGCTGTTTCTGGACCATTGTTTCAGTGTTTATCTTTGCCTTCTCTGCATCTTCATTCGCAATTTGGCTCTACTGCTCCCGTCAGGCCAGGATTGAAGCATGGAAGGGAGCGCCAGAAGGTGCAGCAACATCAACACATCCCCAAGGAAATTCCCTGGCTGCATCGCTGTTTCGCGCCTCATGCGCTCTTTTTGACGCTGCCACGCCTAGTGATCAGTGGACAAGCACTTGCGGCCAAAGATCTACAGCAATAACAGCGTCTATGGCGAACGCCGCATCTCAAAAACCCGAAGGCTTTGATAGTCTCGTGCCAGGCCACCTCAGAACTGCGTCAGCTCCTTCCACTCCTGGCCAAGCCAAAGTACCGACCACTGCCCGCCTTGGCAAGCAATCATCAACTCTGCTTTCATTTCTGACAAGTCGCCACAAACTCCAAACCCCCGCTTTGCCAAGGCCATCTTAACCTTGCCAGGGGGCAAGGTTAAGCTTCCAAGCGAGCAGAGCTCTAACCTCTAATTGCAGCCCCAACCCAAACTGCATGGTACAAAGGGAAAATCCGTCATGTTGACCCCAATATTCGTCAACCAACCAGTTTACCAGTCGGGGTTGTCCCTGGGTTTAGTTAAGAATCCTCCCTTTTCGAGGGGAACGCCCCCTCCCCTTCATTCATAATGCTAACCCCGGATTAATAAACCCTTGGTTGATGAATAGGGGGTTGTCCCCTTTTAGTGGGGATTCATCACTTTTGGAGGGAACACCCCCCTGATAATGGGACGGCTTACTAGTCCTGGGTCAACATTAAACTAGGGTTGATCCATATGGGGTCAACATCAGCACCCGGCGTCCTTCAAGACCTTGCTGGCGGCCTCGAAATCTTCGGCGGCGCGCGCCCACTGCTTGTTCCCCCCATCCACGCCCAGCGTGGACACCTTCTGCGAGAACTCCCGGGCCTTTGAGTAGGCCTCGCTGTCAAACGAATCAGCATGGTGTGGAACATGATTCAAGAATCCCTATGGCCCTCTGAAGAGTTGAAATGTAGCAATTTGAATTGGAACAAGGGCAAACTAACAGCTCAACGAATTCCCGCATTTCTCATGTTTCATGACATCCCTCCTGACTGGACCCAACTTTCATGGCAAACCTCAATGGGGTATGCCAGGCTTTTGGCAGACCATGGGAGGCGACTGGGATCAAATCCTGTGACTCAGACCTTTGCAGCTCCAAATGATTTCTACCCTACCCGGCTGTTCGAAGTTCCTCGCCGATCTGATTCCCCCCAGATGGGGTCCACTGAAGCAGCTTCCCGGATCTGTGGCAGCTGCTTCTCTTGCTGCCAGGCTACGGCAAGTGTGCAACACGGGTCTCGCGTAGCTAGTCATGGTACCCAGGGCCAACGTCTGAGTCTAACCTATTGAGGGGCAAGTTTGAGAATGCCAGGACGGCCTCTGTAAGAACGAGGACTCACAACACATCTCCCCTTGACCAGGAAGATGGCCGCGAAAAGCAAGGATGCCCCTCAACATCCCCCAGTCAGAAAATACGAAGAATCTAAGGCGCCGGAGTGCCCTCGGCGCCCGAGAAGTAGATCATGTCTTGCTTCATGGATCCGCCGGCCTCATCCGCGAATTGTTGTTGGATGTCGTTGGGTTTGACCAGGTTGCATGGGTTTTACCGCAGCACTCCCTGCCTGCAGCAGGTTGCCCCTGAGCGCCTGCGCCTGCTTGGTCTTGATGTACTCCGGGGTCTTCTCAAAGCGGTCCAGCGCCGCGGTCAGGGCCTTCTTCTTCCGCGCAACCTCGTCGGCGCTCTTGGGCGAGTACACGGCCTCCTCGCAAACGCAGAAAACAAACAAGGCGCGATGGAAACGCGCGAAAACCCGTCCTCCCCGCCAAAGACTTGGTTATGGAAGTGTCCCAAACAAGGTGATCACTGTCTTTCCCTGGCATTTAGAACGGAAATATCGGGTTTGCGCACAAACCGGTCCGAGCCATCGCTGAACTGGGAGTAGGGGTTGATTGGGTTGTCGTTCTGCGAGTAGGCGTCCTCGCATGCAAGAGTCCTAGCCTCTCCATGAAAAGGCCAATGTCCAGAACCGTCGGAGACAGCAAACACATATGCAGCGAGAAGAAGTGTCACGTGCAACCACTGCCCGCTTCCTATCCCTGCAGCCCAAGGTACTGACTGGCCGCTGCCAAAGCCGAAAAAGGAGAAGGTGGGAACCTGCAAACGAGTTCGCTCATACCATCATACCATCATACCATCATACCATCATACCATCATACCATATCAGGCCATCATGCCTCTGAGCTCGCCCGAACTTCCAAAACTCAGGCACGAAGGGCGGGGCAAAATTCGCGGCCCCCACCTCCGCATTGGCTGGAGCCGCGGCGCCTGCCGCCAGGGAGGCCGCCAGCGCCGCAGCCGCCTCGCGGCGCGAGCCCGCGGCCGCGAAGGCCGAGTCGTTGGGCAGCAGCCTGCCACCGGCGCTCCACAAGCAAACAACAAGCAAACAAACAAACAAACAAACAAACGAACAAACAAACAAACACAGAGAGAGAGAGAGAGACATGCACCTAAAAAAGTTCGGAGGCAAGTTGAGACCACAGACCTGTCGAGGTCAGTCCAGCCCCCACCTCAGGACCGCCACCAGGCAGCCCGCCAGCAGGAGCTTGGACAACAAAGAAGCCCGAGCCATGGCGTGGCTTCCAACTGGGTGTGAGGTCGGACGGAGCTGTCGCGGCCAATGCCTCCCTGGAGCCCAAAGTTTGCGGAGCGCTGAAGAGCGGCCGGGGCAAAGAAGAGCCACAGACGTAGGAAGCCTTGATTGATGTCCTGGCTCATCTTCTCGCAGGGCGTTTTTTGTCTCGAACAAGGAAATTCATTGGCACTTGCCACTACACAAGATGCGCTGTCTAGACCAGAGTGCGTCCAGCCTGTCCACCATCCCACGGCATGAGCAGTCCTTGAGCATCTTCCAGCGCAGCCGCAGGTTGTTCAGCTGCCGCAGCACCCGCGGTGGTTCTGGAGGGCCTGCCAAACTGCTCTGGACTTCTGGGCGCACAAGGCACATTGTCGTGCCTCAAGGCACAACACTGAGATCAACCTCAACACCTCCGGACTCCTTCAGTTCAGTTCACAGAGCGTGCTCAGTCCGGGCTAGTGTTCGCTTCCTTCTTCGAGCCCCACCGTTGGCGCCAGCACACCAAGCAGAAAACTTATAAGAAAATGCAGAAGCCCTGCATTAGCTTGGTTTTTTGATGTGTGGGACCCAAAAAAAAAGCTGGAGACATGCAAAAGGTTGAAGAAGCTCGGCCATCTTGGTTGTTCGTCGTCGCTTTTGTCACGAACCCTTCGTCGCACACTGAAGCGGCACACCGGCAGCAAAGGCGGGCGCGACAATTCTAGACGGGCGCGACAATTCCAGACAATTAGACAACAAGACCTTCATGCCAGCCAAAAAATAACAAGGTTGTGAGAGGCAACAAAAAAATGACCTTCAGTTCAACGTCTAGGAAGAAAAAAATGAAGAAAAAACAATAACAAAAAACGACCCCCGCGTCTTGGCTTGATTACACCTGCCCCCCGGAAACAAAAAAAAAAAAACGCGGCCTCGCCTGGGACCGCAGCCGTGCGCAGCTGGCACTGGGCAAACTCTGAGCGCCCCGCGGCGTTCACCGCTGCGAGGGCCAGGCGATACCTTGGAGAAAGGCCTAAAACTTCACACACAAAAAGTATCACCAGAGTCGGACAAGGAACACATCCAGGGCCCAAAGTGCATTGTGTTGACCCCATATTCATCAACCAAGTTTATAATTAGGGGGTGTCAACCTGGGTTTGGTGGGGATTCATACGTTTGGAGGGGAACACCCCCCTATCAATAAACTGGGGTTGATTGCCCTCCCACCAGCTAACATGGAAGTGCACAGACCCCGGTAGAAAGACTACTTTCCTCTTGGTTAGTTGGCCTTTTTGGCACTTCCATGTTAGTTGGTGGGAGGGTAATGCGGGGTCATTAGCTCTTCTCAAGGGCACAGAGTAGCGGCTGATCAAATGCCTGGGGTCTCGGCTCGGTGGCGCTGCCCAAGGACGGCAAGCAGGCGCCTTCGAGACGACAGCGGCGGCCGAGAAAAAGAGCGAAAGCGGAACAAGTCCCTTCGTGTCCCGCTGGCGGGCAAGAAGCTGGCGGGCAACTAGTCGTCACGAAAGAAAGCCCCCGTGTTGGTTTCACCACAACTCACCAGGCATTTCTGTGCAGCAGAAGTCTCGTCGACAGCTTCCCCTCATTCTGGTGGGGTTTTACATCGATCCTGTTCGTTCCATCCCCTGAAAAGATGCGAGAGAATGGCAGCAATTTCCCGGCGCCGCATCAGACTTTCTCCCAGCTCCAAACTTCAAGCTCCGCGCATTCACAACCCAAGCTCCAAGCTCCAACCGATGCTCTACCACAGAGCGGCTTAAAAATTCCTGGCCCGCTTCCCTTTGACGTAGAGCTCGCCCATACCGGCTTTCTTGAACCAGTAGTCCGCCTGGGGGGCCAAGCAATCTCTGCACTTTGCGGCAGAACTCGCCAGCGCCGGACCCCAAGAAGAAAAGAAGAAAAACGCGGAGAAAGCTTTTCGGGATCCCGTTTCCTCGGGCCCGGGGAAAATGCTCGCTCCACGCGAAAAGTCCCCGGGGCCTTCTCCGGGTCTTCCGGCACGCCGTCCCCGGCCGCGTACATCTTCGCCAGGTTCTTCATGGCCTGGGCGTGGCCCTCCCGCGCCGCCTTCTCGAACCAGGTGGCAGCCACCGCCTTGTCTTCCGCAACCTCAAGGCGAGGAATGCAAAGCAAGCCACTGGTCGGCCGCCGACCTAACTGGTGGGTGCTGGGGTGGAAGGAGGGGGAGGGGAGGTGGGGGTGGGGGTCCTGGATTCCTCAGCCATTTCCAACTGAGAGCTAGGAGCCAGCAAGGTCTGAAGTCCAGGTTGGACCGTTCACCAAGCTTTGCTGGGAGATACATGGCATGCTCTGACTTCCGAAGCCCTGGGGCGAGGCTTTTCCAAAGGCCTCCACTTGTCTGGGACAAACTTTCTCAAGCACCCCCCCTGAACGAGGCTGCAAGTGATCCACATGAATCAAGCGATTCATCCACGTCTGAGTCCCTTCCCTTGCTCTTGCCTTGCTCTTGCCGTCACGCTGCTCCCTCCCCTAGGTAGTAGGCAGCCGCTAAATTGTTCTGAGCCATGATGTGGCCACCCTCCGCAGCCAGCTTGTACCACTTGAAGGACTCTTCCATGTCAACCTGCACCACACGTGCGACGGGCTGTTGAGCCGCGGAGGTCACAATTCAGCACCTCTGCACAAAACTAAACGGCTGAGCAACGAATTCCCACCGAACATGCCCCCTGCCGCGGGCAACAGAGGCGCCTCGATTCCCTCACCCCGCTCGCACATCACGCCCAGCGCATACCTTTGCATTTCCGAAAAAAAAGAAAGAAGAAAAAAAAGAACAAACAAAAACTTGCCTTCGCAGTTCTCGCAGCTTTTAGGCTTGCTGCGGACTAGGAGCCATATGGCGGTTGTCTCAAATCCCTTGTTTCGGGGAATGCTGCTATCTTCAAGAAAACCAAAAACAGGTAAATAAAGAAAGCAAGCAAGAAAGAAAGAAAGAATGAAAGAATAGATTGACGGATAGATGACAAGTATATATGTATATGTGTATAATGGAAATAAATAAACAAATAAATAGACAAACAAACAAACAAACAAACAAACAAACAAACAAACAAACAAACAAACACACAAACAAATCAAACAGAAAAAACGTGTCTTCGATTGCCCAGCTTTCGCCGGGCTATGCTCACGAATCATTCATCAACAAAAAGACCACGTCCGCCGAGGTCGATCGCCGGGGGGGGGGGAACGGGCCAATGGGCCAAAGGGGGGCTCAGCAGACTTGTTTGCACTTTTTGGGGCTTTACTGGAAAACACCAAATGATTTCAACCAAATAGCTAAAGTCTTAAAGATCCAACCCCACAATGCCATTGCAGTCAAGAGCAAGACCCCAAACCCTCGGCAAAACCTCTCGGACCCTCTCAGCCGGAGGGGCTGGGCGCTGTTCAAGCCCTGCTCCGCCGCCTTTCGGTACCACTCTGCCGCCTGTGGCCGGTCTGCGGGGAGGCCGTTGCCTCAGCTGTCGGACTGAGGCTCGAACAAGCGCTCCATCCATCAGAAAATCACAATCCACGAAGCCCCCACTTTTCCTGCGCAAGGCGCCGAAGTGATACATCATGGCTACATTGTACTGCGCCTCCTTGCGCCCTTGCTCGGCAGCCTTCAAGAACCATCTTCCTGCTCTCCTCTTGCTGATCTTCACTCCCTCACCTTCATGGTACATCTCCTTGGCAACAACCAAGGACCGGCTTGAGAGCCAGAACCCTGCGCAAGGAGCCGACAAAACTTCAAGAAAAAAGGCCCGCACCCCAACAAAGCAAATGGCTGAGCATCTCCCAGGTGGTACTGGCCATCCATATCACCTGCCTTGGCTGCTTTCAGGTACCACTGCAGGGCCGCATCCTTGTCCTCCTCCACCCCATCGCCGACTCTCAGCATGTACCCCA